TCGCTTGTTAAAAAAGTATATGGAAAAATAAAAATCAAGTTTAAGTCATTTTATTCGACTTTACGTCTGTCCGCCACAAATATTGAAGTCGTAATATCACTAGATAAACGTTTAAAGCACATAAAATCATATTAAAATATATACAAGTATGTACTGTATTTACAGTACACGCATTCGTAAATTTAGATTACTTTTTTTGTACTATATTAAAAACTAAAATTTATTTGTTTGTAAGCTTAAAATAGATTTTTATTAACCATATATTATTTAAAATGCTTTCCTAGTGATAAGTAGATTCGGAGACAGGTAAATTCGACTTACGTCGTTTTCCTGGAACCAATTACCGACGTAAGGCGAGGTATACCTGTATATATATATTAAAACGTATGTATGTTATTTCAATACATTATTAATATTTATACAGGAAATCCTCATTAATATTTGAACTCTGATAGTTTGAAATCCTCTTAGTTCATAACTGTACTATTTGTCTCAACTGGCAATATAGAAGTTTATATGTTAAGGAATTTGGTTAGTTCTAAATATGGCTACTTTTGAAATTTGATGTAAAAATTCTGTCCGAACTGTGATATGCATATATTCATTCATACACTTAGATGGAAGTTTACATCCCTCCATAACGTAAGAGAATAACAAACCACTACTCTAACCTGGTCAACATGGCTTTTGTTTTTATATTAATACATTTTCAGGTGTCTATTTACTACCCATTTTCTCTTATCTCAAAATAAAGCAGGGCTTCAGAGTTGTAAGATGGAGCTACAAGTAGCAGATTGAGATATTTGTAAGGCTCTATGAGATTAGATTTGGGCAACTTACTACTTATTGGGCTATTTCAAACATAATTTGGGCTAAATGTTGAGAACTGTTTTATTTTTTATAAAATCTATCTGGCAACCTGTGAAATTCTCAACAGACAATAACTCAAAGTGATTATTTTGTCCCTTAAATTTTGAATTAATGAAGACTTCCTATGTTATATGTAATATAAATATATGTATGATTCATATTTACATGCAAATTTTTATTCAGCTGCTACAGGAGAGCTAGTGGGTGTCTGGAGATTAAAAAAAAAATTAAGTAGAGCATTCACCACCATTACACTAATAAAGTATTTGCATCATTCTAGTGTGTGGAGCAATCACACAGTGATCTTTTTCAAATATGGCAAAACGGCATCACTAAGATTGCCAACTTATGATTATGCTTGTATTGGAAGTATGGCAGTCAGCAATAATGGTACAACATTGCTGGCAGAAGTAAAAAGGTAGAAATGAAAGGTTAAATGCATCAATATGAAAGGTGAAAGTGATACAAGTATGTCATTTTTCTTTATGCAAAGACTACCGAAAGAAACAAATTAGCATCCTTGAAAGATCCCTTACACTCAAAGCCTTTTGGATCAGATAAGAATCAGATCTCCTACAAAGAATCATTGGTCAAAGATCTGACAAAGCTGATTTTCACATGGGAACTGGCAAAACTGCAATTTTTGGGCTTCCTGTAAAGATGATGTATAATTTGTTATTGAAAAGTTGCAGTCATGTGCATGTGGTTTAGGATTAGGAATTCTATTATCTTTGATCCCTACATCATTAGAAAACAATGAATGTGGATGATTACTTAAACATATTAAAGACATTAATCTCCCTTATTACAGCACTTGTGAGAATGCAGACATAGTTCATTTCATGCAATGGGGCACCTGATATGGCCCATCTGATAGATTCCCATTTTGCTGTAACCAGAAAAATATGGTTTGATATGGCATTTTGTGAATGTTTTTAATTGTATGAAGAGGAGACATTGAGTGGCTAACAAGAAATTCAGATTTCTTTTGCCAGGGATATCTCAACAAGAAGGTGTACCAATACAAACATTATGCCACTGGATGCACTAGAAGCTGTCAACATTTCAGCTAAAATGTTCCAGATGATAGTCCTTCTTTTCTGTTTCAGACTGTTTCCAGAAATGTATCAGAAATACTGGCACATTGTGAAATTTTAGGTAATACTATTGTTTACACAACTTTTTTAGTTTTATTTTGGAAGTTCTATCTGTAATACTAAGTAGCTAAATAAAAGTATTGTAAAGGGTCTTTTAAATTGAATGCCTTTTTAAAAAATAAATAAAATATAGATGATGCAGTGAATTCATCCAGGTATTTTGACAGTTAAAAAGTGTGACATATGACATTTATAAAAATGGCTTCATACACAATACAACAATGTGTTCAAGTTGTTGAATTATTTTATGAAAATCAGTGTTCTGTGAAAAATGTTTTTAGAAATTTATGTGAATTTTATGGTTTACATAATTGTCCATCTGAAAGAACTATTGGTCAAATTATTAAAAAATTTAATAGACCAGTTTGGTAGAAGATTAAAAAAGAGAAAAATACAGTAGTAGTGGTCGTTCACAAGAGCATATTGATTTGGTTTGTGAAAGTGTTGCTGAAGCACCTGAAATGTCCATTAGTTGACGTTCAAAACAAGTTGGACTCGGTGAATCAACAACATGGCGTATTTTACGAAAGGATTTAGCTTTAAAGGCATATTAGGTTCAAATAACACAGGAACTACAGCCATTGGACCATTCAAAACGTTATGCATTTGTCAATTGGATTAAACAACAACCAGATGATTTTTCTCAAAAAATCATCTTTTCTGATGAAGCACATTTTGAAATTGGTAATTATGTTAATAAACAAAATTGTCATATTTGGGGTGAGGAAAATCCATGAGTGATTCATGAAAAGCCTTTACATCCTCAACAAGTCACTGTTTGGTGTGCATTGTGGTCAATTGGACCATATTTCTTTGAAAATGCTGCTGGTAATGCTGTAACAGTGAATGGTGTTCGATATCATGAGATGTTAACTGAATATTTGTAGCCTGAACTGAATGATATTGATTTAGAGCAGGGATGGCAAACCTTTTTGTGTTTGCATGCCATATTGTAAGCATACTTAGCTTTAAAGATGTTTATGCGTGCCAAAGTTTCAGATTTCGAATAATGATATTTAAAGAAATTAAATGAATACGCTTTAATTAGAATAAATGTAAAAAAGCTGATTGAAAAAAGGATAATCAGGTGATAAACGGAAAAGATGATTGAAAAAGACAGAAATCATATGATACATTACATGTCAGATGATTTCTCCTTAGTGCCACTTTGGGCATGCGTGCCATAAGTTCGCCACCCCTGATCTAGAGGATATATGGTTTCAACAGGACGGTGCAATACCTCATTTTGCTAATGAAACAATTGCTTTATTGAGACAAAAATTTCCTGGAAGAATTATTGCAAGAAATGCTAATGTTAATTGGCAACCAAGATCATGTGATCTAACATCATTGGACTATTTTCTTTGGGGTTATGTAAAAAGCCAGGTCTATAAGAACAAACCACAATCAATTCCTGAACTGAAGGATTAAATTATTCATGTCATTGGTGAAATAGAGCCTCAATTATGTCAAAATGTCATAGAAAATTTTAACAAAAGAGTGAACCACTGTGAAGCAGCAAGAGGTGGTCATTTTAGATATTATTTTTCGTATATAAATGTCATAACTGATACTTCAATTACCAATAAAAAGTTTTTAAAAATCAATGCAAATTGTGTCTTTTATTTATTTTTAAAAAAAAGGTGCTCAATTTGAAAGACCCTTTACAATAAAAATGAGTCAATTTGTATATATATTAATTGAAATATATTTTATATTTCAATTAATATATAAATCAATAGAAACCAGGTTAAGATATTGAATTTGCACAACATAATATTCACATTGTAATGAGAATTATATTTATCTTATGTAATAACATTAATAATTAAATGTAATATTTTATAATATGAAATCCATTAATACATTGTCATTAAATGAAATTATACAAATCATTAATTACACTTGAAAAAAAATCTTGAAAAGCTATATAAATGATAATTCACATTATGTTTTTTGAAATAGCATGCTTAAAAATCTTAACATTTTGCATTATAAAGTAGTGTTTTTAGATTAAAATTAATTTAACATGAATATGGCTTACTGGAGTGTCAATTGTAATTGTTTCCTGTAATAATTCTTGATGTTTTTGTTCTTCTGGATCCATTATAGCTGAATTCACATCTTTTATCTCTGGATCAACTGTACCATTCTTGGGAACTTGACAAGCATGAGATACACATATTGCTCTGTTTAATACAAACAGCTATTTAATTAAATCAAGACAGATATATGAATTTTTAAAATAGAAAATAACATAAAAATATTTCAAAACTTTTATCAACAGTTTAAATATTATTACTGATAAAATAAATTTTATTTGAATAGCTTTTAGAATAAATTGAGGCTTTTTCATACTTTATAAGAATGGGAAAGTGAAAACTGATACTATAAAACTGAAATGCTATAAAAGTGATACTTTTATAGCATTTTTTATTTTATCAGGCAACATATTTTAAAATAAGATTAACAACTTACTCTCAATTTTATAAGCAATGGTAATAGTGTCAAAAATAAATATGAATAAATTTTCTTGATAAAGGATTAAAATAAGTTAATACAAATTGCCAATTATTAACTGTAGACCTTTCTAATGAGCAATGTTACTATCACATTGCTCATTAGAAAGGTCTACAGTTCACTTGCATGTTACTATCTTTATTATGCCCTCTTGGGCATAATAAAGATAGTAACATGCAAGTGAACATATATCACTCTAAAATCTTTATTACTTTTCCAAAAGTTCACAACTATCTTTTCAATTAGTTTAGAGAATTAGTCTGTTTATAGGTGTTAAATTTATGAAAAACACTGAACATTTTCAACATTTACTGTTTCCAAAAAATATTTGTAAATTTAACACTAACAAACTGACTAATACTCTTAACCAATTGTTTTTGTATTGATGTGTGCCAGCATATTTTGCAACTGTCTTTTTTCCATTATTTTTAGCAAGCTTTCAATTTTTAATATGTTACTGACTATTTTAATCTGAATAAAGCTCTGATAATTTTCTTATCATTCATAAATAAGAGAATAGTTAAAAATGTTCAAAATATTTTAAAATAATAATTTATTTTATTCTAAAAATTTACATTTACAATCATTTAATTAAAATTATTAATGTTTAAGTCCAAAGTTTAAGCAGGGTCTTTTTATCTAATGGTCTGTCAACTGATAATGTTTTCTATTCATACATTCCAAAGGGAAATATTTTGGCCAACAAAAGGTGTAAAGACTAGCAGTTCAGTAAACAAATGTAGCTTTGCTACAAGAACATGCCTTAATTATGCTTATATTATAGACCAGTGTTTTCCAATCTTTTTGGATTAGTGACATACTTTGAATTTAATTAGATTCCTGTAACACACTAATTTTTAAAATACAGTCGACCCCCTATAAGATATAGATACGTTCCAATTTATTAGGAATCCGATTTCTTACAAGTCGTTCCAATCACAGCACGACACGTGTCAAGTTTATGGACTACGGCTGATTGAAAGGTTTTCTTCCATAAAATTAATCGATTCTACACTAATCCGACTCAACATTTCCAAAATACGTATATTTTTTCGTAGTTTTATAGGAATCGTAATTATAGGGACCGTAATTATAGGGGGGTTGACTGTAGAAATGTTTAAAATTCTTTTTTAATTAAAAACTTGTCCATTTTATTATCTGCTTAAAATTTAAAATAAATTATGGTTGATTTAAAAAATTTTGATAATACAAAAGTTAAACTAACCAAGACAAAACCTCACAATTTTACAAATATACTACAAAAATAAAACAACTACTGTATTTTGATGAGTATAAGTCGCACTTTTTTCACTACTTTTTGGGGCTCAAAATCATGGTGTGTCTTATATTCGGCAGGTAACCATTTTTACAGTGAAATTACCTACACTCTAGGACCAACCTGTGCAGTGGTCCGTTAGCAGATGGTCCCTCAACCGAATGGCTAGAATACCTAGATTATCAGAGTAGCAACACACAAGTCATCGCCACCATGTTCTGTTGACTTCATCACGTGACCTCTGAGTTTACATTAAGAAATGACGATTATTTCAGTTTAATAAAGCATTTTATTCGTTTTTTTATTCAAGAATATGACAGATGGATGAATTGATACCTTTATTAAACTGAAATAATTGTCATGTTATGTTTATGAAATAATGTCATGTTATGGAGGATATGCACAAAATAACACCTTTCTTACTTATTCAGCAATGTTTACTCTGAAGTAATTCAGAGTGTAATACAATGTATACTTATGTGTCATTTATTGTATAATTTGATTGTAAATTTGAGTAAATTTGTTTACTCTGAATTACTTCAGAGTAAATATTGCTGGAATAAGTAAGAAAGGTGTTATTTTGTGCATATCTGTTTTTTTATATAAATACAGTAGAGCATTGATTATCCAACTCAATTGGGGACTGGGGTTGGTCGGATAACTGAAAAGTTGGATAACCGAAAAGTATGAAAAAATCTATTATTAGTGTAGTATATTATTATATCCCATGTAATTAGTATATTAGTATATCACTATTAACCTACTTCGCGTTGAATTTTCCCCCATGTTAAGCCCATCAAATTTTTTTAAAAATAATAATAGTCGCTATTGTATCGTTAAAAATGAGAAAATTAAGACTTGTTTAAATACTGGCTCTCTTTCATGGTCGATCCAGTGTTGCCAACTAAAACACATAAAAATAATATTAAAATAGCCAAGACATAGCCAAATATTGTAGCACCACATCACTAGCAGACATTTGAATTTGCCGACTAGAACGCAGTCGGTTAACCAAGGTGATGGTTAATCGGGGGTCGTATAATCAATGCTCTAATGTACATTTATACAATACTAAGGTCAGTGCATATGGCAATTTTACAATTAAAATTTACAAATTTACAATCAAGTTATACAATAAATGACACACAAGTATACATTAGCTTTATTAATTATAATAAAAGGTGATAAAAAAAATCACTTTAATATCATACAGTTAATATTGACATTCAAACATAACTATAAAAATCACAAATTTGCCTTGTAAATTTCTTCCTAGCATAGTTCCTATTGTTATCACTTTAATATTTGTGTTTCTGCTTGGTCCTTGTTATAGTCTACCATTCTGCACTATTATTCAATAGATAGCACACAAACAACAAACAGGAAAAATGTTCCTTGTATATTGTCTGCTTAATTATAGATCCTGTGATCAACAAAGATCCTCAGTACACTGCCAGAAATGCATTAACAAATATAAAGTCTATAGGATTTTTATGCCATCCAATAGAAGAATTACATAATTGCTTATGTTTTTAGAATCCATTATTTCAAAATCTTTATTTACAAGAGACAAACATGTACTTTATGATAGCCAATAAAGTTTTTAATAATGGTTCCTTGAAAAGTTTGCAAATTGGAAGTGAACTTACTTTGAATGATAGCTTTATGCTATCGAAAGTGCTTGTGAACTCATTTATACTTTAAAAGTCACTGTTGTAATGCCACAACACACAAGTGTAATTATGTTATAAAGTTAAAAGTTGGTGTGAAGTGTACATTACTTTCATTATGGGAACTTACTTCACACAGAGCTTCACTAATGGCTAAAATTATTCACTTCTACATCACTTGCAGGCTTTATGTTTTACAAGAGAAAAAATTCTGTTCCAAGATCAAAAGTTACTACTAAAAATGCTTGAAAGTTATCAAATGTTCAATAAATTGTTACCTAATTTTATGCATATTAAAAAACTTAACAAAGTCACTATACTGATACTTCTCTTCTTTTCTTTGCTAATTGATTAAGTAATTTCAAATCTCTTATAAATAAATTCTAATTGGAGTTAAAATTTAGGTGAGTTAACAAGCATGCTTGCATGATCTGTGTGGTTTGTGTACTGAATTGCTGTTCTTAGCACCATCTGTCAAAGTTTGAGAACAAATTGAAAGTAAAAAGGTGGAGTTGGTAGACCATTAGATAAAAAGATACTGTTTTAAGGTAATAATGATTAATAATAATTTTACAAAATGTATAATTTTTCAAAACAATAAGGCAATACATAACAACAAATGATACTATTTTAATTTAGGTTAATTTGACTTAAAGACTATATTGCTAAAAGACAATTCATAAGCTCCATTTTAAGTCAGGGCTACCAAAGTAATTAGAGCAGAGTGAAAATATATAATAAATATTAATACATATATGGAAAAAATATATGGATGAGTAGTGTAAATTAGATAATAAATATTTATTGCTTTTTTTATTGGATATTTTTGTAATAATGTAGATATTTTTGTATTAATAGAAATTGCCACCTCCACACAAATTCATATCATTACTTTCTTTGTGTTTATAAAATCTGTCATATACTTCATTTGACAGTTGACAGTGAAAATGATTGTAACAATAAAATTTTAAATCCTACAAAATTTATTTGTAAAATATATCAAAAATAATGCTATAGAATATATATTGTTTTCTCAAAAATTAGGAGGAATTATTTTTGGACAGATACTTATAAAATGAAGATGAAAAATTGTATAATTTAAATTGAATTGAAAAATTTGAACAAAAAATTTACATGAGTCAATCTGACTGCTTCACCTGTCCATTAAAAGAATTTAATGAGTAAACAAAAGAGACTCTTTTAAAAAGGTCATAGTTTTAGATGTCAATCTAATTATATTAAAAATAATAGATGCAGTATTGTTATTTATCATATGAAAGATTTCATGATTCAGAAAAATTTGACTTTCATTCATCAGTTTTCAAAATTGAAATTTTCAATTTAAGATACAATTCTATTTAAACAATTGTTTAAAATATTAATTGATCCACTTAATGCAAAATTGCCCTCTTCTAAAACAAACTGTTTTAATTACTTATCATCATCATAATTAGCATCACATTATTCAACAACACATTCAAATTTTCTAAAATTAGATAGAGTGGGGCTCCTATTGCCGACTGCTTCCAGTAGTTGACCACGTAAGCCAAAATCTGTGCATATTTAGTCCATCAAAGCAGGTTTAGGTGAGCCATCTTCACAGGAAGCATGATAATACAACCCATTTTCAATGACATGTAAGAATAACAGGAGCCATATTCTGGTCACTTATTTCTCATCTCTTCTTTCAGAGATGAATGATATCAAAACGAGATGAAATTCATCTCTCAGAGATAAAGATAATTCTGGTCATTTGTAACAATTTTCTCTTTGCTATTGGTGTCACAATTCTATTAAGTTGATTATACATGTTCAGGTTATCTGTGCATGCAACACAGTATAGAATTTTAACCAATGAAATTGTAAAATTTTTGAAAATGCAAAATTATAGGTCACATAATAAGGAAAGTGCAAGTTCAAATAAAGCACCTAATTTTGACAAAGATATGTGTTTTGTTTTATAATATTTTTACAAATTTTAATGTCAAAATGTCTCGGGTAATATTGTCTCTTAAGAAATAAAAATTTTAATAGCCCAAGTTAGAAAAGTATATATACTTAGACGAAAGACAAATATTAGTTTGTCTCTGGGAGACAAGAGAATCTTCAAAAAAGTTGTCCAGAATGACATTTGGAGAGACGCAACAATCTATCAAGATGTAAACAAATGATTAGCCAATTTGCAACCAGCTCATGACATAGACACTATATCTCAGAGATGAGAGATGGTGACCAGAATATGGCTCCAGGTTGCCTCACTCACTCACAGCAATGGGAAAAAATTACGCAACAGTCCTTCTGGTCATCAACCAGCGAGGCATTGTCATGTCTTCAGAAGATAACAAACCCTCGTTATCTTCTAACATTGCCACATTTGCAAGGCTCTCGATGAAGGAAAATCCAATTGTTGACTGCTATAAACGATCATGCCATCCACCAGGCAAACAGCCAGTGATTAAATTTTTTTCCATAATGTAAACAAAGGTCTAATAAAAAATGTTCTCTTTTTCCATGATAAGTATAGAACAAACTTTATTTTAATATATAAATTTTGCTTTTTATGTTATTACACAAAGTCCAAAACATCTTTAATTAAACAGTCAACTACTGGTGCCATTACCCTACATTGTCTAATAAAATTAGATTAATTATACCTAAAACTGCCTTGTAAAGTGATTGTATTTTTAAAATAATTGTGATTTTTGTTGAATTATTGATCATAATTATAATCTTCCAGAATAAAGAAATTGCACGTATTCATTAAAATGTACAATTAAGAAGCTTTTCCAATCATAGAATTTCTATTTAATTAAATGTTAAACAACACATCAAATATAACTAATATTTGAACTATTTTAAATTATTTAATTAATTAAAATAATAATACACTTTCCTTTCAATTTTTATATATACAAACAACTAATAATATGTATGATGCATTTAATACGAAAATGTGAGTACCTTCTGTTGATTCCATAAGCAGATTTCAGGAATTTAGAAACATTTCTACTTACAATCGCCGCCATCTTGCTAACCGCAATATACATAAAACGTATAATTTTATTGGACGAACTTAGTCAAAGTTCAATAATTTAACCAATTATAACCTTTATAACACAGCGAAAATTTTTGATTTGGCGTATAAAATTTTTATAAATAGGATGATTTTTATTGCAAAATAGATATTAGCAAATATTAATTCGATTATTTTACCTTAAAATTTGAATGAATAAAGCTAAGAAGTTTTGAGATTATGATGACGTAATATGGTTGCTGTTTGGTCGTTCCTCGTGGTTTTTCGCGGAAACTTAAAATTGGGAAAATAAAGTAAAACAATTAAATAATCCTAATAACAATTTAAATATTAAATACTGTAAGTTGTTATTTTTATCTTTGCAAAATATTTAAACAAAATGTTGTTAATTTAAAAATCAATATTTTTTTTTTTAAATACTGTTTTGAATTTGAATTTAAAGGTCAAACTTTACAAATTCTAATAAATTACCAAATTATTGGTAATTTATTAGAATAAGATAGGTTAGGTTAGAACGTGGATCCCCACTGCGTGGCCATGACGGTGCACGTAAGTAAAGTTTGACCAATTTAAAATACATTAACTTTGCATTTGAGCACTTAAAAAATTATCATTTCACGCCTTCTCAGAGGTTTGACTTTAACCTGCCTTATGAATTAAGCTGGTGAATTTACTCATTGAGATTTCTTATTTATGAAAAGAAATATAAACATATACTTTGTTTACATATTTACATCTCAGCTTTTTATATAAAATAACAGAAAATTTATATAGAAAGCAATAAATTTTAAATAGAAAATCAATTACAAAAATTCAAAATTATTAAATTGTTTTGATTTCAGTTTCTACGATAATAGTACAGGGCAATTCTTTCAGTGCTGGACTACAGAAAATGTGAATATCTTGAAGACCGTGCATTACATATAGAACAAAGATGCATGAGTACAACCTTACTTTATGAAAACGTACCCACATTACGGGAGGAGCCAGAAATGCTCACTGCCACTATCTAGCAAAGCCAAACACAATTCATGTGTGCAACCTGCAACATTGTGTACTGTTCTGTTGACCTGCACATCATCTTCACCAATTGCAGAAACTTCACAACTTCACATTGAATGTTTGTTTCTGGTTCCTGTATAGCATGTAGCTTGTTAGTATACATTTTTCCTTTTAAGAGACCCCACAAAAATAATTATATAGACTTAGGTCAGGAGATCTTGGCATTCTCAAAATAATTTGATCTCCAAATAACTTTGGATTTCAGTCATGCTTTTGTTAAGACATGATAAATGATATGATATGTTAAATGCCAGATGATTTCTCCTTACTTGCTACTTTGGGTATGTGTGCCATAAGTTAACCACCCCTGCTCTAGAGTGTTCTATAGCATTCCAAGCATTCTCAAATTATAGTATGTGCAGCATTATTAAAAATTATTGGCTGTTAGATAGAACCTGAGATATTTTGTGCAAATTTGTTTTCTGGTCATCCATTATGATAGAATGATAATTTTACAATTAATAATATGCTAAACTCACTGTGTTTTAAAATAAACAAATAGTCTTCAGATAAATATTATGATAGCAGAACAGTGTTTTCGTTTCTAGTGCATTAAAGTTTCTCTTTCATCAGAAGAAAGAAATGTTAGAAATAACAGTATTTTTTGAAAACAGCACCATTTTATATTGCCAAGCAATCACCAGATAACATCCAGCTAATTTTCTGCAATTATATTTAATTAATTACTTGCTATCCATTATATTGGACTGCAAGTAAAAGAATTATTATGATAATCTAAACAAAGCATATAAACAAAATGATTTCACTTTACTTTAAAATGGATTTCATGTTCTTTAATTTTACATTATTGACATATAATTTTGTAATTTAGTTATATCAGGTTTCTTACAACACAGTTTCATTTTAATTAAGCTATAACTAGAAAAATTAAAAATATCAAAACTGTATTTGGTAGCCGTTGTGGATATAGTCATCTTTATGTTATGGATACAAATGGTTCATATATGAAGTATCTGTTGTAAGTTTCGTTATTATAGTCGTTGCTGAATAAAACTTGTGAAAATTTTTTTTGCTATTGTTTATATATTGACTATCATGCAGCATGCAAATTAGGAAAAATTTCAAACTTTTAAAAAAATTTTTGAGGATTATATTTCTCAAAGTGCAACTATAAATTTTCAATAATAATAAACAATGCTTTTAGCCCACAACTTTAATTTAGATAGAATTATATAGCCTAATAAATAGGATTTTAACAATTTTATAAGCCCCCCAAATTGTTAAAATCCTATTTATTAGGCTACATAACTATCTAAATTATAAATTTTCAATATAACTTAAATTGTCAAAACTTTGACTTTTAGAATCATATACAGTTGAATCTGTCTATTTCAAACGTTTATCTTGAAATTTATTTTCCCCTTGCATTTTCAGCCTAAATTCAATATGTTTTCTAATATATTATATTCAAATAATTTTCTCCCAAAACCTCTGTCTCAAATTATGAACTGAAATGTCAATTACAATTTCGAAGCTTAGTGACTACATTATGATAGCATAAATTGTAGTTGAGAATCATCTCTTGCAATACAATACATAGTTGCAATTAATTCTGCTTTTCTCTGATTGGCTATGAGTTTGGTTTGGCTTATTTTTTTATGGAACATGACACATGGGCAATCTATTGAGGGGGAAAACTGGCCCGTTACTTTGGTGTTACAAATGTGAAGAAAATCCAGAAAACACCACCTGGCCATCCTGTTGGCAAGGTGTGAACCCACAACCAACTACCAGTGTTCAGTGGTTTTATCCACTTGGCCACTGGTTGGTTAAAGCTACAAGTTTGGCTTACATCTTATTGATTGAAGAAAGTCAGGCTTCAGAATCCATTGACAAACTATTTCTGCTAAGGTATGTCAAAAATGTTATATTTATACCTAATACGAGTATGTACTGTACTTCTATTGTATTAATAAAATACCATACCTTCAATCAAACCTATTACGGTTTAGTGTGTAGGAAACTATATCTTGAAACCTATCTCAAATTTTTTTTCCTGTTCCCATAAGATTTGAGCTAGACAGGTTCAACTAAGGCGCTAGATAACCCAGGTATGCTCATCCGCCATGTTGGTCCTTAGAAAGCAGACGACTCTCGTAGAAGTTCAATAGAATAGACACGAAAATAATCATAAATTCAACTGTATCTTAAGATTTTGCAAGGTCGAAATGATAAACTTTGCCAAAATTTAGTTCAACTAGTTATAAAATACAGCTAAATTTAAAATTCTTGGAATATGACGTCAAAAGGACCAATATGGCTGCACACGTGACGGAATCGTATGAGCATACCTGGGTAATCTAGCGCCTTAGGTTCAACTGTATTACTATAAATGTAATGAGGTATTCTTAAACATTTTGTAGACAGTATGAAATAATGAATCAAATTATAGAAATTTGTAGATTTTTATAGGTAAGAAATACTTTATTAGATTTACAAGGCAATTTTACTATAGTTATAATGTATTTTTGTTTGTATTTTATAATTGCTATTAATCAAAAATATTTTATTTTTTCTGAATATTAAAAATTATTTTTTATTATAGGAAAAATAGATAACAATTTGTGCAAATAAATAAAACAAATAAATAAAATGAGCAGAAATATGCTAAAAATTAAGCATTGAAGAAAATAAGAATATAGAAAAAGGAAGTCAAAAGTAAGTATTCTAAATAAGACAGTAATCAACAATTATTTTTAAAAAAATCATAATTCCAAACTGTCCATTTGAAATAATTGTATTTAAAAACAAATATAGAATGTACACAAAAAACTTTTATAGGCCATTTAACATTGAGAACACATTGAAACATTGACAATGCTAACCTTTATCCTAAATTAACTTTTTGGTTACACTAATTTACAAATTGAATCTATTATTAATTACCAGAAATAAGAGAGTACTTTTCTAGACCAACTTTTCATGCTTATTACTAAACTGCTTTCAGTTTTTCTATTCTTTACAAAGATTTTATTTTATGATTTTTACAAAAAAATGCTGAAAATATACATAAATGGCAACATATAACAATAAAGCTACATGAACTGCTGTATAACATCAGGCTATATATTGGCAATAATATCAATAATTATAAATTACTGATAAATTTGACCCTCAAGGGAGGCATTAGGTGCCATCTCGTATTAAATTTAATAATAATAATTTAATTAAACAGCTTTAGATTAAACTGGAAGAAAATAATTGGCCCAGAATGGAACTCAAACCCACAACTCTGACACAAACATAAAATAAAAATAAAAAATTAATAATTATTTTCCGTAAGTAGTTACTCAATAATTGCTTAAATATGTATTAACTTTACATATTTGTTACATACTGTGTATTAAAATTGGAAATATAAATTTTATGTTTACTTTTTACTTGAAATAAAAAGTGATTACATTTTATAAAGTTTTATTTTCTGTCATAGACAAAGTCACTGTAGATGCTTGAAACCTGTTCAAGCCAGAATGGTATTTTGCACCTGTCTGATTTTGGTTTAGACAAGTTTGACTGTGCTTGTGTTCCATTAATATATTCCAATAACTTTTGTAAAAGAAAATGATAAAATTGCCATAATATTACTGGTGTAGAATTCAATAAATAAATAAGTAATTACCTAAAACCAGCAATAATTCTCTTCAAAATAAATGTTTTTTTCCGTTTTTAAGGGTCATCATGAGGTTTTCATGCATTGGAATGCTTGTTAGAGAATGCCCATTTCAAAAATTTAAAAATTGCATATCTTGAGGATATGCACATGCTCAATGTAGCGCTTTAAAAAATAGTCTTCAAACTGACCTTCTATTTTAAAAAATTCGATGTTTATATAAATTATGCAAACTTGATGACGATCTATTTTACGTCAAAATATGCTCTCCATGCAGCCGCCAATGAGTCCATTTCTTTAAAATTGATGGCTGTTCCCCTCTTGAATGCTTTAAATATCTTCAGCTGTTCAAGACATTTCAGGCTGGATTGGTCCTCACACTGTTGTAGTAATTGTGCATTATCAAAGTCCACCCTGATGTCATCATCAATGGCGAAAGAAGCCAATGCCATAGTGGAAAGGCCATTTTGAATGGAGTATTTATGCTCCTTGATCCTTGTTTTAAGGCAACATGTGGTAGCACCAATATATTTGCCAGGACAGTTCACACTATGATTTTAAATAGGGATAGAATACTATTAGTATATTCCTACTAACAGTATTCCTACTATAATACTAATAGTATATTCCTGGGATACTGTTTTGATCCAATCAGTCCTAATCGTTTCTTAAACAAGAGAAAATCGTCGGCGATCTCCTGTAAGTGATCCTTTTACTCGTAACACGGGCTATTTGTTTGTAGGTATTAGTAAGGATCTTGTCGTAAGTAATAGGTAAAAAGGACACATCTCCTGGAAGTGCCATTTCTGCAGGTTGTTTGTGGCATGCTACCAGATCATTAATTAGGTGTTTGTAGCATGCTACCAGATCATTAATTAGGTGTGTACAGTAACCATGCTGCCTAGCTACACTTGAAATATATTCCAGCTCCATTCTCCTATCCTCTGCCATCGAACAATAGATGTAAGCCCTTCTTACTAGAGTCTTAAAAGCAGAGATCTTGTAACTAAAAGGATCATGTGATTTCGCATGGATGAAAAGTGGAGCGTATGAGTTCTTACGAAATACCTTAGTTCTTAACTGGCTATGTTGTAACTTGATGTCTATATTGAGAAAATGCATGCTGGTGGAGCTTTGTTGTTCTGCCTGCAATGAGAGGCCATAAGTGTTATCATTGAAAGCTTCGATTAACGCTGCCAAGTTTGGTTTTTTCTTCCAAATAATCAACACATCATCCATATATCTAGCATACAACTTAATGTCATCACTTATTCTAGGTAAGACATGTCATTCCAGGTGCCTGACGACCAATTTTCAAAGTGTTCCCGATATGGGACTACCCATAGGTACCCCTCTAGTTTGAAGGAAAGTATCTCCCTTGAATATGAAAAAGGGTGAGTGACATATAAGATGTGCCAACTCCAAGATGTTGGAAATATGTCTGGAAGAGTCATTGATGTTACAAATGAGGAAGTCCCGTAATTCACAAAAACATGGTTCAATATGAATGGAAGGGAACATGGACTCAAAATCACATACTGTGAAGTAGATGCCCTCCAAGTTGCCAAGGGCATTTAATCTGTGAATCAACTCCATTGGATTTGACACAGTATATGGATATTCTTCCATGTTGCTGTTTATAAAAGAGTTAAGCATGCTCTCCATAAGAATAGCTGGAGATCTTGATTTGTCGACGACCAGGCATAGTTGTTTACTGGTTTTATGTAGTTTGGCAAAAGCAAATAAGCATGGGGAAATTGGCACTGAGATCATTGCCTTAGTTACTTTGAGTATTCCAGCCAATGTGGAATTAGCTATACATTTAACTCTTGTTTGAATCTTCTCCAAATATCCACAGTGTTGTGGATGTATTCATGTAAGCCGTTTCTATACATGTCCCTATACATTAGTACTATGCTTCTGGATTTGTCTGCTCTTACAGTGACTATACTGATATGATCCATCCATTGCTATGAATTATATATGGCCTTCCAATAGCTTACTTCATCCTGTGCATTGACAGCGTGGTTATGAATAGAGAAGAAAGCTTTCTGTCAGAAGTATTCCTTTTGCATGTTGTTAAGACCTTCAACCATCCTTTCAACATCCGGTATAATCTTATTTAAATCTTCTGGAGGAGAAGGAGCAAACGAAGGGCCTAACCTGACTGCATTAACCTGGCGTGAATGAGGTGGGAAATTGTTACACCAACTATGAGGTGGGTAGGAGATACCCAAAACTTTGATGCCAAATTTTTTATACTATAACTAGCTTACCCGTCGCACATTGCTGCAATCTCAGAATAAAGGAAATTCAAGCAAACTCGTTATGATAAAATTCAATTTACATTTTATCATTTTTATTGAAACTTATTATTATTATTCATTTTCATCGGGAAAACATTTCAAAGTGTCGTTTCAATTCTATTTATTTATTGGAGTGTTTGTGGATACACGATATTTTTTGTTTTTCCGTCTGGTGCGTACACGAATAAATCAAAAGGTTTTCCGACGCGTGAGTTGGCCACATACAGTTGTCAAAGTGAGAAGCACAGATTCTTTAAATTTAGTCCACATACTCGCAGAGATTGTTAGAAGTGCGATATTCCCCATTTTTATATATATTTTTTAATCCTTCATAATTTTGATTATTTAATTGCTCCTTCCTTTCTTCCTTGGCATGTTGTGAAATTTCTGATAGTTGGATAATAAACTGTTTTATTGTAATTTGTCTTTTTAAATTATTTTGAGTCGATATTAAAATTTGGAAAAGGGGGATCCCTAGATCGGTAAAATAGGCGAATTTCCTTCTACAACTTCGGTTGTTGTTCATGATCCAGTTAAGGCTTTAACAAAGTTCGAGTGATTACGTAATTAGCAAAAAAAAGTTGAAATAAAGTGATTAAACAAAAATTATAACAAATATCGTAAATAATAAATGCATATATAGAGATATTTTTTGGAGGGGGGAAATGGTCTTCACAATTTGAAATCGATCGAACACACTGTGCTCGAATGCTCGTGTAAACGCGCGCCATCTATCGTAGGGTAAATGCCAGAAACCTTCGCTGGAGTTTATTAAAAAAACTTCCCAAAGCTTCATGGCAATCGTACTATGCCACAAACCTTCGCTGGAGTATATTAAACAACTTCCCAAAGTTTCACGGCAATCGGATAAACAGTGTGGTAATGCATGAAGGACACACATACATTCATTTTTATATATATAGATTGTGTATAAAGTATTTTTTCACTTGAGATAATAAGAATATCTATTCAACAAGATGAGTAAATAAAATATTATGTTTAAGATTGAAAAGCATTTTTTTTTAATTGAAATAACAAAGTGTCTATATTTTCTTTGAAAAAGTACAAGTTTTGGTAGTTTAACATTTTTTCGTGTAAAATTTTAACAAAATTACAACTTCTTTGGTTAATTAACATAACTATAGTATCTTTCAATTATAAAAATAGAAGAAAAAAAAACTAAAAGGTCTTATGAGATCAATTTGCACAGCACCAACATCACATCTACAAATCAGCACAATCTCCACACACATGCTTCATACATTTTGGCTTCTCACACTTTGAACAACAATATTTTGTTTTCCTATCTATTTTTTAGTACACTCACCACACCTGACATATTTATTAGCCATTTTTTTGGAAACAGGTAATGAAGGTTCTCCCAGTTGATCAGTAATTACTTTTTGAGTTTCCCTTGGAAAATGTGTTTTTTGTCTAATGCAAAGACTATCATTTGAGAAATCTAGAAATAAATCTAAAAATACTATAACTATAACTCATATAAATTTACTGTCAACTCAAAAATGTAACACCGACTATTAGATCGGATGTGACCCCAGCCACCTTTGCTCATGTGTATTTCCCGCTGACACAGGCGGAACACTAAACTCAACACTGCGCCTCGGCCCCCCACTCCCTTACCTCCAGCTACTGTGACAATGGGATTTGCATGGCAACAATAACATTAAATAATCTGCGTTTAAAATCTTCTCGGGTATGACATATCCAACCTCACTCACGCCGGGTTAACCAGCATAGACAGAGGTCGTATGTTGTCCCAACATACAAGAGAACCCTGTATTCAGTTTTCACTCCGGCATTGGAATGTTGAAAGCCATTTTAATGATAAATGAAAATGATAAATAACTAAGATAGCAAACAAGAAAAAGTAAAGTACAATTAATAAAGAATTATTCCTGTTTTGAGATATGTAATTACATCTGTAATTGAAATAAAATTATTGCTCTTTATTTATTTCTTAATTCTCAAAATTTGTTAGATAAAAATTTCTAATATACACATTAAGGGGACAGCAGTGCAGTTTTGCACTTATGGTTGAATTTTGAAGTAGAATTTTTTTTCTGAAATATCAAAATTCAGTATAGTATGTATGTCAGATTTGAATAAGAAGTTCAACATCACCTTAATACCGGGGGTGAAATCAACACTATAACTGGAACCTGTTACCAGTGTTCTTTGTGAAAAAAAACAGTCTATCACAAACGTTTTTGAACTTTTGATTAGTTCTTCCTCAGGTAAAATTCAATGAAACGCTTCAAAATAGAACGTAAATATTTGAAAATTAAATTGAATGTCCAGATGATTAAATCCATTGCACTGGGCATGTGCGTTTGTGCATGGGTGGTGGTAATTATAGTTCGTCATATATGAGGGCCTGCCAGGTTACTGATAGATTAAGCTCCTCTTTCTGGTTGATATAGGAGGTCATGTGGCTAGCTTTGTAAATAGATATAACGGTATTCATGTATGATATTTTAATTTTAAAGGATATTTGCTATGCTGATCTGCTTTATGTGCTTTATGTTGAAATACTGGTAGCTTGCTTTTTATATATTTTGGCTACAGTTAAGCAGCTTTTGCAAGTATTCATGTAGAATATTTTTTTAAACTCCCTGATAAATAAAATTCTAAGTTTACTTTTTTAACCAGAATATAGTAAGAAATTTTGGGACTAAGTGTCAAAGGTGCTGGAATAGGACACATCTTACATGCCATAAAATATGATAAAATATATTTAAAATCATATTTACAAGCAAATATAAAGCTGGATATTACAAATAGTATAAATGTAGAATAGAAGACAACGAGGCAACTAATGCAATTCTTTACAATAAGAGGATTCAGATTAGATTAAAAGAAAATTTCATAAGATAATAGTTAGGCAGCTATGAATATGGATTGAAATATTGAAAAATAGGAAAAACAAATTAGAAAATGAAGATAGCTGAGAATGCTTACATGGAAAATGCAATGGGTGAAAATTTACTGAAATAAAGTTAAATTGTGAGGCAATATGAGATAGATATTAAAGAGAGCTAGAAACTTAGTTACAGTATTTAGTTTTAACAGTAGTAGTGATATGTTGAACAAATCTTGGGAGAGAAAGAAAGAAAAATTATTAACAAAGAGGATTACAGAGTTACAGCACACTAGTTAGCAGTATCATAAACTGGAAAGCTAGAATAATAAAACTGGCCTTATTGGAATGCAGGGACATGATGATGATATTTTGGGTGAACTGCATTTTACAATAACTTTATATTAATATCATTATGTGTGCAGTAGAAGAATTACAGAAAAATTGTTAATAAAGTAATACATTTTCTTGAAGAGTTTTAGAAAATGGAAAATTTTTAAACTAATTGATCAATATATTATAATAATTTTATCTTGTTTAAGTGTTGATAATTAATGTATACTTTAATTACTTTAATATGAAAATTACTTTGATATTATTTTTTAAATCTCTTTTGACTGCTTTTCAGATGAATGCAAGAGTACGAAAAAATTTATTTCATCCTGCTTCAAAGATAATAATAGCAACTGTACTTTGTGGATTGTTATATAAATTTGTTTTGAGTGATAGTTTGAAAAGACGGCGCTTCCATAAGTTTGAAAATGAAGCTAATATATTAATTAACCTTGAAGAAAAAAGAACAGAAAATTGAAAGTTTTGATAGATATTCTATGATAATTTTCTTTATTTTCCCAAAATAAATCTTAATTTTAGAAATACTTTTAGACAAAATTTATATAAAACAAAACTATGAAATTAATGTAATAAATATTAAAGTAAATTATTAAAACTGTGCAATAATGTTGCAGTTGATTTTTTTATTAATAACTAAATATTTAATTAAAAAAATATAATTGCTAATGTGAAATGTAAAATAATTAATTTTGAAATTTAATACTTAGTGTAAAAAATATTATTAACTTAATTCTCTTACAAATTAAATTATTGCAATATCATTAAAAAATTATTACAATGTTATTGACTCAATTTAATTTACAAATTAAATTGGATAGTTGAAAAATGATATCATAATAGTAAAATCCAAAAGAAAATCAAGAAGTCAGTTTTAATTTATAAACTTAGTCTTTGTTACAGTTAATTGTTATAATTCTAATGTTAACTTTTCTGGCTGTTATATATACATATAACAGGGAAAAGTGTTGGAATCATGACAAATTTGACCCTCCAAGTTTTTTGCAAATCTCCACATTTTGAGACATAACTGAAAAAAGTCAAAAACATTCCGTGCATGTGTGTGTGTTGGCATATATTTTGTTTAATATCTCAGGATGGGTGAAGATTAAGAAACAAAATTTGGCATGGCAGCTTGTGTATAAATGGCATTGATGCTATTACATTTTGGTGAAAGGTTGAGGGGTTGGGAGATAGATAGGTCATGTCATATCGAGTGGGGTCAGACTTACTGAGGATGTTATACATTATTTTCATTTGCAATGTTTTATGAAATGGATCACTACACTCAAAATTAAGTTTTTTGCCATTCAATAATAATTAAAAATACACAAAGTTTTCATAACAAAATATCATAACAGATGGCATTACACACAATTTTATTTATTATATAATTAAAAATATAAAAGTTACTTTTTAAATAAAATCTTGTGACAGCCAGGAATGTTATGCATCTCATTGCTGGATTTTTTTAAAAAATGGAATGGTGTTATTTTACAGTTACTTTAACAATCTAATTTAGGATTTTTAGATTGTATCTGAGGATGAAGCCAAAAGAGAATTCGAAATTTTATCTTAAACTATGCTGTATTGACTACTCATTTTTTTATTTTTGTGTTTAGAAATTATATGAAAGTTAAAACTTGGTAACTTCATTGAAGATTAAAATGAAATAAAATTGTTTACTTCTAGTAATTAAAAAGTATTTACTAAGGAGTGTTTTTAGCCCCAGTTTGTTCCATCTTCACCTTGTGTGAAATTTGAATGTAAAACAGAGGATGGTTATGGAACAATTTCAGAATAAAATAAGAATATTTGTTATGAACCTATGAAGCAATTTTAAATATGAAATATAAATTGCAATTATCTAAAGAAAACAGAGAATAAGTATAAAATAATTTAAATAAGAAATTTTTAATCTAAATTATTTTATACAATTGTAAACTATTATTTATAGAATTTGAAAATTTTAAGGAAAGAACAATTAACAGTCTGTTTTTGATACAAAATGAAGGAAATATGAAGAAAGTAAGTTTCAGACTATTCTTTAAATGTCAATAAAGAAATAAAAATTTATTTAGTATACTTTACAATAATTGATTTCATTAAATGTTATTTCATTTAATAACTAGATAAATTATTTAAACATTGTACAGTATAACCAAAATGATAATTTTCTGTAAATATTAAAACTAGCTAAATTTGCAAAAATAATTCTCCCTCTAATTAATCTAGAATAAACTAAATGCTTAGTTTGTGATTTCATATTATAATAAATGAATTAATTAAGGTTACTGATACATAATCTATTATTATTTACACATGTTTAAAAATTAGCACAATTTACTCTTTTAAATTTCATATTTAAATTAAAATAAAATAAACTAATGAGATATTAAATATTATATTTTTATTATTTAATTACTGTATATGTAGTACTTTCAGAATTTAAATTTAAAATATCAATTTATAATTAAAAAAACAAAAATATATTTAAAAGAACTTAAATCTTTTTTGAAGTAACAAATACATTGTGTTTATTTTTAAAAATTCACTTTATTAATTAAATGGAGCATTATATTGAAGATAAAAAAATTATTTTTTTAAATTAAACATTTTATTTTATTATCTAATTTAAAATAATATTTGTTTCTAATTAACTTCTTATATCTTACTATTATTTTTTATTTCTTGAAGTCAAAAATATTTATAAGAATTAAATAACTATTTAGAAAAAAAAGAATGAAAATTGTATATTTTTTAGATTGATACTTTAAATTAGTAAATTAAATTTTTATTAAAACAATACAAAGTAGTATTAATTTGTATAAAATTACTCTTTGTATAAGTTGTTGTTAGGAAAATATATTTAAAATTTGATCTATTCACTGAATTTTAAGATCTGTTTCTTTAATACAAATATTCTATATTTGCTGATATAAATTCTACATATTAATACCAGAAAAATTATATGTATAAATTATCTGACTTTAAGACTCAAGAATCATAAAATTTGATAATTTATTTTTGAAACTTACTGTTAAGATATAATTACTGTTTTTAAAACTGATTGTTTTTGAGAAAAATTACTGATATATTTTGAGTGATTTATTCAATATTTTAAAATTTAAAAACTTTATATAAAATAAATAAAATAATATATTTAATTAACTAATTCTCTTACATTAGAAAAAAAATTAGAAATTATATATAGGGTGCTTCAAAAATGTGTTAATGCTTCTGATTAATGGAAACAATGGATAATAACCTGTAACACAATAACAAATGTTTGTTAGCAATTTCAGAGTCACCACTTGTTTACCATCATTTTCAACACACCTTTTTTCTTTTCTCCAAAGTCAATCTTGCTGCCATTTCAGACAACTACGTAAAGAAACATATTTGTCCATAGTGTTAAATGTTTTTCAAGTATCCTATACATTTTGTTTAAGATTTGGATTTGAACCTTGACAGTGAGTATGTTTAATATTCAATTAATTATAATTGAGATTAGAATTAATTAGATGATGTCATTCAGTATTAAAAGCAATTTTATTTTTTTAATGTTTAAACAGGTTTTTTGAAAGTAAATAGACTTTAGGAATGCATTCTTCAAAATACAAGCTTCTATATACTGTAATTGAAAATTTTAAAATGTAGATACGTAAATTCTTGAAACAAAAAAATATATATAATAAGGAATTAAAAGAAATAAATATTTCAAATTTCTAGAATAAAAAATTATTTGTAGTAAGTTACTTATAATAATTTATTTTTATTCATGTTAATATAAATCAAAATGTTAATTTTTGCCATATCCAGTCTCAAAATTTTATAATGTCTGATATATTGGATATTAGATAATATAGAACAACATGGGTTTTACAATTATATGTAGTCTTATATAATACTCATTGATATTTTCAAACTCAAACTGTTAAAAGAGAGAGAAATTGGCTAATTTAGTTGCCTTTACGTCCTTATCACTTTATTATAGTCAACTAAGACCTATCTTATTAATAGGACATTTACACTGGTGTGATAGTTATTTGCAACAAGTACGAGTTCTTAATCAGAAAAAACAAAAAACTTTTTATTTTTCATCTGTTGTTCCTGTATACATAATACACATATTCGTGTTTCAAACACATACGCTGCTCATCAGCAGGTTTACAACAATGTTAAATTTTTTGTAGTCGATTACTTCAAAATATGCATAAACTGCATATAGAATAATCACCAATTTTACATTCTTTAAATACATATTTATAACCAACTGTAGTTCTCTTGTATGATTAAATTCTAATTAAATTAAATTTAATCATACAAGAGAACTACAGTTGGTTATAAATATGTATTTAAAGAATGTAAAATTGGTGATCATTCTATATGCAGTTTATGCATATTTTGAAGTAATCGATTATAAAAATTTTTCACTCAAATTATTGTTTTGGGTCAAAACAAATTTTTATTCTCTAGTATGAAGTGACTCCATAGATAACATTACAAGACTAAAATGCTTATAAACATTCAAGCAGTCATTTTATTAATGTGACTAAAAGTGACTCCTTGAGTGTTTACTAGTGTTTTGGTCTTGGGATAAATTTTGTAGTTATTATACATTTAATGTTTCTGTATAATTCTGCACAAGAATATCATACACTTTTGTAATATAATATTTTTCAATAAACTTGCATCTCATTTGTATGGTTGAATTTGAATTTCATAATTATCAGTACTAAATTTTTTAAAATAACTTTAATAGTTAGATAAAATTCAAGAGAAATGCTAACATTATTTATAATGCATTTATTGAATTTATTTTTGTTTTAGAGGCCATCTATTAATTAAATATACAGCTTTTGAACCACTTTTGACTTCCTCTCTCCCTGTTGTATACAGTGATATACTTTTGGCAAATTACTTCCTCTTTACTTATGTATACAATAGTTGTAGACATCCCTGACATTGAACAAATGACTTAAAACAGTACTGCAGATATTTTCTGACAGTTTATTCACATGATTAGAAAGTTGGCTTATAAGAAGAAAATTGTGTGCCACTAATAGTACTAAAACATATACATAAACAATGCCTCAACCCCTCTTCATCGTGTACAATGAGATACTTTACATAACACTCTTTCCCTGTTAAACTGTACACATTATTAATTCATCTTATATATGTGTGAAAAGCTTATCAATAAAATTATCTTTTCTAAAACATTACACTTTATAAAATATAATTACAATAAGAACTTGAAAAAATAATAAGAAGAAATTATATATCTTCAAAAATGTGTTAACACTTTTGATTTATGGAAACAATGGAAACATGTAACACAATAATAAACATTTGTTCATAATTTCAGAATGTAATTAAATAAGATATCTATATATTTTTATTTTATAAATTTATATACTCAAACAGTGAATATAAACTGAGATTTAAAGGTCTTGATAGTTAACTGATTATTTAGATATTGTAACATTTAAATTTTCTGTCAAGGCATATGATAAAATAAGCATAAAATGATTTAAAAAAACAGCTTTTCATATGAGTTTACTAAATGAGTGAAAAAAACACAAAATCTTAAAAGCTGATCTGATTTATTTATATATTCACACATGATACAGAGTATTATAAAAGTAACAAAGTTTGTTTCTACAATGTAAATACAAAAACTGGTAATGAATGTCTGTTGCATAAAATAAAGTGTCCAGCATTTATTTCAATATTAACTGTCACAGTTTGATTTCATTTAATATACAATATATTTTTTAATAAGTGTTTTTATCCCCAGTATCTATGTTATAAATGATGGCAACTAATAAAATTAAAAATAATTTTCATTTAAATGTTTTTCCAGATGCTAGCCAAGGTCTGAATAGAGGTAAAGTTGTTGGATATTGGGTGCCACGTTTTCTCTTTAATGTTCCGTCTTGATTTCTTAATGGATGAGTAGCTATCATTATAGGTAGCTGTAACTTCAGTTTGCTGTCAAATCCTTTAGGTGAAATGATAAACTGCAATATAAACAAAAATTTATAAAAATTATTTTAAGATAAATTAATTAGAAAAAATTAATACATTAATTAAATTCTTATAAATAATTGAGTTTTTTATTGTTTATAGATATAAATTTACAATTTAATTTAAAAATTATAATAAGTTTTATTAATTTAATAAAAAAACAATTTAACATTCTCATCTAATTTTCTATACTTATTTTTCAAAATATCAGGTTAAGCAGTAATTTTAACTGATAATCTATGTTTTAATTTATGAGCTAGACATGTTTATTTTATTAATGAATATTTCTTTTAAGCTGGAATATTTTAAGTATTTAATTGATAATCCATAAATTTTAATTGATAAAGCTGTGTTTTTCCTGTATTTAAAAATTTATAGATTTAACATCTTTTATGCAATTTGCTCAGAATATAAACTACTAGAATGCATTGATTCTCCAATAAAGTTGAATTGCTTCTTTTAAAATATATTTACTAGAATTTAAGAAATTTATTTGAAATTTTTAAAAGAAATTATCTATATATAAAATTTATAGCTGGTTCATTAGCTAAGATGAACATATTTAATAGTCTGTAGATGTTACTATTTAATAAATGAAGAGAAATTAAATGCCAAAGGCATTTGAAATATTAAATTGAGTATTAATCATGCAATGTGATTATATAATGTTCTGTGAAAATTCTTGTTTCTTACATTCTAACTTTTATTATATAAAATAAAACTTTATATAAATTGAGAAGTTGAAAAAAAAAAAAAATAGTTTGTTTGTTTATTCATGACCACATTACATTATAATTTAGTAATAAAGCTAATAAGGTACATTAAAATACAAGTTTTAGTTTAGTCAAAGATTTATTTAAAGTGTGAACAATTTAAGTTGAAAGCTAATTCTAGTAAGTGGAGACAATTGAGGATGTTTAGACACCAAAGTAATTAATGTAATCAATAGACTTGATGAAATTAGAAAACTTCTGGAATAAACTTAACTATGATCATTTAAAATGTCCTCAGGTTAAAATATAGGTTATTACAGTATAAACCTATTGTTGTATTTATTAATTTAAGTAACATTTATAGTAACTAATACTTTAACTTAGTTAAGTGGAGTTTTTCCACTTTTTCATATGAGATTTCATGCTAAAAATTGAATCAGAAATCACAATTTCTACCTCTAAGAAATTAATTAAAACATCAGAAAAATTCACTGAAATATGTACATTTAATGAATTGTTTAAATTAAATTTCTTTAAAATATTAGAAAAATTAATATATTTTAAAAGGATTAATTGATTAAACTCTTAATACTGTTTCTAAGAAAAATTGTTAGAATATTATAGATTATTATAAAACATTTCTTTATGTTCTGTTGTACTAGATTCTATATTTATTTCTAAAAGAATCTTTTCAAGGATGCTGTCTAAGGCTATTGTCAAACTGTCATATATCACTTTTTTTAACATGTGGTTAAATCTCAAATTTTTTTTTTTTTGTAAATTATTAATATTGAAAAATCTCAAAGGGTATTAACTTAAATAAGTTATGTAGTATATCAGAACAATTGCATAGTCTATAAAATTTGAAGAATTGACAGTAAGATTGCAATATACGTTTTTCTTTATCTAAAATTTATTTATTACAGCTTTTTCATATATATAGAATAAGTAATATTTTAAAAATAGTTCAAATTAATTATGAAAATATGAGAAGATTCAATACCGCTGAAAAAATTTTTAGAATAGATGGTATTCAATTGAATTTATATTAAATTTATAGATTTTTAATAGAAAACAAAAAAATTTATACATTGAAACTTGCAAATAAATGTAGTAATATTTAAAATCCATTTAGAAGGTATGAATAGTATTTTTTCTGGATAATATATTATATATAATTTTTAATCTAACCTTTAAGGAAGTTGTGATTATTTAAAACTAAATATACTGGTGGTTTTATAGTAAAATTTATCAAACATAAATTGTAATTGATGAATGAAACTGTATGAATGGGTGTCAGAATGGATTTTTCTATCTTAGGAAGTGATAAAATTTATTTCTTGACACCAAAACAGTTTCAACACTATTACAAAATCATCACCTTAAACGAATTTACTCTAGAAGTGACTTTTCATTTCAAATGATATTGATTTTCAAATTTGAAAGGTGTCACTGGAGCTGACTTTATCAAACATCGATTTCCCTCCCCCTAAAATGCTATTTTTCTAATTCGATCTACAATCTGTTATAAACATTCCCATGGTGCTCTTTCTTAGCAAAAAGGTCAGAAAAAATGGGCACAAAAAAAATATTTGATGTGTTTACTTACATAAACGTCATACTGGATACGTATTAAATGGCATCCTCTTAAATTTGTGGGTGGTAAGGGAGGAACGTACAGCAATTCGTTCTTCCATTTTTCAGCGGTTCCTGCTTCTATTCCACCTTTTTCTATCGAAGCTAATTCTCTTGATTCCGACTGCACGTGTTTATTTTTCACTATATATTGAATAGTCTACGAATAAATAAACTAAATTATTATCTCGTCATCGATTTTTAGGCATTACAAATAATTAACTCTTACTTCCGTCAATATTGCTCTCGTTTTTCGAATACCAACTTTGCTATTGTTTTCTATAGAAGCGTAGATGCAGATACTTTCTCCTGGTACATAACCACCTTTATCTAGTCTCACCCTACAAGTGACTGGTCCTGAAGTGATGCATGGTATACCAAATGTTTCTTCTATTTCGCATAGGAAAGGTTGCTGCAAAATTAAATTAATGACTGTTTAAACGTTCCCATAGTTTAATTGTTAAAGANATTTATTTGAAATTTTTAAAAGAAATTATCTATATATAAAATTTATAGCTGGTTCATTAGCTAAGATGAACATATTTAATAGTCTGTAGATGTTACTATTTAATAAATGAAGAGAAATTAAATGCCAAAGGCATTTGAAATATTAAATTGAGTATTAATCATGCAATGTGATTATATAATGTTCTGTGAAAATTCTTGTTTCTTACATTCTAACTTTTATTATATAAAATAAAACTTTATATAAATTGAGAAGTTGAAAAAAAAAAAAAATAGTTTGTTTGTTTATTCATGACCACATTACATTATAATTTAGTAATAAAGCTAATAAGGTACATTAAAATACAAGTTTTAGTTTAGTCAAAGATTTATTTAAAGTGTGAACAATTTAAGTTGAAAGCTAATTCTAGTAAGTGGAGACAATTGAGGATGTTTAGACACCAAAGTAATTAATGTAATCAATAGACTTGATGAAATTAGAAAACTTCTGGAATAAACTTAACTATGATCATTTAAAATGTCCTCAGGTTAAAATATAGGTTATTACAGTATAAACCTATTGTTGTATTTATTAATTTAAGTAACATTTATAGTAACTAATACTTTAACTTAGTTAAGTGGAGTTTTTCCACTTTTTCATATGAGATTTCATGCTAAAAATTGAATCAGAAATCACAATTTCTACCTCTAAGAAATTAATTAAAACATCAGAAAAATTCACTGAAATATGTACATTTAATGAATTGTTTAAATTAAATTTCTTTAAAATATTAGAAAAATTAATATATTTTAAAAGGATTAATTGATTAAACTCTTAATACTGTTTCTAAGAAAAATTGTTAGAATATTATAGATTATTATAAAACATTTCTTTATGTTCTGTTGTACTAGATTCTATATTTATTTCTAAAAGAATCTTTTCAAGGATGCTGTCTAAGGCTATTGTCAAACTGTCATATATCACTTTTTTTAACATGTGGTTAAATCTCAAATTTTTTTTTTTTTGTAAATTATTAATATTGAAAAATCTCAAAGGGTATTAACTTAAATAAGTTATGTAGTATATCAGAACAATTGCATAGTCTATAAAATTTGAAGAATTGACAGTAAGATTGCAATATACGTTTTTCTTTATCTAAAATTTATTTATTACAGCTTTTTCATATATATAGAATAAGTAATATTTTAAAAATAGTTCAAATTAATTATGAAAATATGAGAAGATTCAATACCGCTGAAAAAATTTTTAGAATAGATGGTATTCAATTGAATTTATATTAAATTTATAGATTTTTAATAGAAAACAAAAAAATTTATACATTGAAACTTGCAAATAAATGTAGTAATATTTAAAATCCATTTAGAAGGTATGAATAGTATTTTTTCTGGATAATATATTATATATAATTTTTAATCTAACCTTTAAGGAAGTTGTGATTATTTAAAACTAAATATACTGGTGGTTTTATAGTAAAATTTATCAAACATAAATTGTAATTGATGAATGAAACTGTATGAATGGGTGTCAGAATGGATTTTTCTATCTTAGGAAGTGATAAAATTTATTTCTTGACACCAAAACAGTTTCAACACTATTACAAAATCATCACCTTAAACGAATTTACTCTAGAAGTGACTTTTCATTTCAAATGATATTGATTTTCAAATTTGAAAGGTGTCACTGGAGCTGACTTTATCAAACATCGATTTCCCTCCCCCTAAAATGCTATTTTTCTAATTCGATCTACAATCTGTTATAAACATTCCCATGGTGCTCTTTCTTAGCAAAAAGGTCAGAAAAAATGGGCACAAAAAAAATATTTGATGTGTTTACTTACATAAACGTCATACTGGATACGTATTAAATGGCATCCTCTTAAATTTGTGGGTGGTAAGGGAGGAACGTACAGCAATTCATTCTTCCATTTTTCAGCGGTTCCTGCTTCTATTCCACCTTTTTCTATCGAAGCTAATTCTCTTGATTCCGACTGCACGTGTTTATTTTTCACTATATATTGAATAGTCTACGAATAAATAAACTAAATTATTATCTCGTCATCGATTTTTAGGCATTACAAATAATTAACTCTTACTTCCGTCAATATTGCTCTCGTTTTTCGAATACCAACTTTGCTATTGTTTTCTATAGAAGCGTAGATGCAGATACTTTCTCCTGGTACATAACCACCTTTATCTAGTCTCACCCTACAAGTGACTGGTCCTGAAGTGATGCATGGTATACCAAATGTTTCTTCTATTTCGCATAGGAAAGGTTGCTGCAAAATTAAATTAATGACTGTTTAAACGTTCCCATAGTTTAATTGTTAAAGAATAAGCAAATTACCATTAAAAGTGCTGGTTCTAGATTCAAATCGATGGGATTCATGACTATGAAAACTTGTTGAGTTGTATGAATCAAACCGTTAGGTTCCTTTAGAGAAGCTTTACAATAATATTGCACCCAACCGTGTTTTCCTAGAAAAGTCGATGGCATACCTAATGGCAGACCTAACTTAAATGGAAAGGAATGGACTCCGGGAGATAATATTACGTTTCCATTACCTGAAATAAATCATATACATATTTTAACATTTATAATAACTCGTAAGTTAAATTATTAACGCAATAAAGGAATTATTGATGTAGGTTAATGACGGAAATTATAGGGACATTTGCAGATTAATGAGTTCTGATAATATATTAAACAAGTTTTTATTAAAATAGTAGGTAGTTTCATATCCTTGTCACTATATCTTGTAATAATAGCGTATTAAATAAATAAATAAAATATATATATATATATATATATATATATTACGAAAATAGTTTATTTATTTTGGACGTAATAGTAATAAATGCGTTGGAAATCAATTGTTGTAGATGTAATTATCTGAGATATTGAAAGTCAAGTATATGTTTTACGAATTATACAAAAATTAGACCTGAAAAGTAACAGAGTGCTTCAAGACTAATAAAATTTTAGCAACATTTAAACATTTTAATTTTGTTTTGTTTTTTTTCACTAATTCAAGTTAATGAATTAATTTAAAAACAATACAGTCGAATTGTCTTAATTCGAACACGAGAGGGAATTTAAAGAAGTTCAAATTTTAAAATTAAATTAGTTTCTCCAAGTTTCTAATATTCAAATGTCTGGCGATATCACACTTTTTGTTCACTTTTCACTCCTTTAATCAATTAACTTTTTAAGTTGTAGTTTCAAGCTTAAACACTAAAATTATAGCTAAACAACAACAATATCTAGACGTAAATGTCATTAAAATTGTGAACGTAAGTGACAATTCGCCCACGTTCCAGATGTTTACAAAGCACATGTATTTCGTGAATCCCCGAAAGCATTCATTCTATAAATTATTTTTACTTTCATTTTTCCTATTTCATTTTCAAAATTTGGATAATTCAAACCATAGCAGGTTTGAATTCAAATGTTTATAAAAAAATCCGAATTAATTGTTTTTCACACACAACTTATATAGAAATTTCAAAGAGGAACAATAGTACATAAAGCAGGAGTTCCTAACCTTTTTTATGTGTCAACCCCTTGAATATTATAGCATATATAAATAGTCTATAGTAGGGGAAGGTGGTGCAAGATGAGAACGTTAAGGTTTGAAAAATCATAAGATGGCAACCACTTTAATGAGAACAATAATTTTTTTTATTTTCAACAATTACATTTGGTAATATATAATACAAAATTTAATTTTCGAAAAACGTTTCTAAAAACAAGAAAATTTAATGTTTTAAAATTATATGTAAATGCACCATCTTGCCCCATCTATGGGGTAAGATGGGGATATTATTTTTATATACAAGAAGGACAAATTAAAATGTTAAACTGTCGTTTTCTTCAATATTGGCACAAGAACAGTGTGTCCATTTATCACAACGGCTACATTTAGCCCAACTCTGCAGATAGAGTATAACCCTCCACAATAGAGGCATTCTGTGTCATTTGTCTTTTGTTTCTTGTTAGGCCTACCCTTGCTGAAAGGGCCTGTTTGTCGTCTCTTCATCAATAAAGTCTGCCTCCGAAAATACTTCTGGATTCATAGGCCATATTCATGGTCAACCTGGGGCTAGACGGGGTACTCCATCTTGCCCCCAATGTATACTTTCTATACTGACTGCAAACACACGTAAACTTCATTTCAAAACTAAACAATTACAGTCTTAAAGGTTACTTTGAATACCATAATATCTTCATCTGAAAGGTAATGTAAAAGTTCACAATGATACTCTGTAAAAACTTTTTAGCAGGCATAAAATTAGATGAAGGATTGTTGAAACATGAAAAACGTATCTTACTTCCAAACAAAGAGAGCGATTTGGACGTTCTCTCGCTCCATGATCCCTTTCGAGGTAGACATTTAGTTCCCTAAGCAGCTAGATAAAAGAACATTAACCACAAATAAACAGACGTCCCCGTCTTACCCCATGACGCCATCTTGCACCACCTTCCCCTATATATGCAACAGCCTCCTACATAATTGTAAAAGGCGTTTTCCTACATTTATTTGAGAGCAAGATATGTGTAAAATTTTTTATATTGCTGTTTTATCGACCCATAAGGGGTCAATACCGACTCCATTGGGAAGCCCTGATATAAAATTTTGAACTGTTTGTGTAGTTTTCTGTTTGATCTATTATCTGGAAGATTTTATTTTCTTAATTTTGTGATTAAGATGCTTACAAATTTATTAAATTTTAGCATGTAAGATTATTAATTAAAAATTTGAACTTCATCCAACCATATAATAAAAAAAGTATTTACTCGGCGTTTAAAATTGTCTTATAATTCAAGGGAGAGAAAAGCTTTTATTAATTTAATGGAATTTTTTAATATTTAAATTATGTGTTCAATTAGAAAAGAAAATAGCGTAAACACCGCAAATTAGCGCGATTGTTTTTACTTACACAGATTTTCAGAAAATATTTGCTCGAGTAAATTTACATAATTTAAATTTTAAATAGTAACAATACATTAATTACTTAATTTTATTTGTCTTGTAGATAAATTAAACCTTTCACTAATCTTTCATTAATTCAAAGAAACTTCGTCTGAGTGTATTGTAAACAGAGAAATTTAACTATTCTCACATAAGAATGAAATCATTCTCATCACAGCCTACAATTTATTTAATAAAATTATTTTAGAATAATATAGGCATTGATTTACCATGTGATTACATCAAATCTTGCACATTATAAATTCTTATAAAAATTTTATTAAAATATATTTAGTCTATAGCCTACAAAATTAACTATATTTACAGTAATTTACAAGCCTTGTTATGAGTAAAACTTCTTCCTCAGTTAGCAATATTAACTACTTAATGATATTAATTGATATCTGAGCCTTTAGAAATAGGCCTACAGTTTGTAAATTAGATTAAAACACTATAATTAGAGTAATTAGCATCTCTAATTATGATTTGTTTAACGTATGAGAAATTGTATAGGATTAAGAGTACTGTGTAATTCCCATTAATGCTGATCTAAATCATAAGTGCACATGAATCAAAGCTATATAAACATATGTTTAAATTTAATAATGCATTTTTTTTAAATATAATTTTTAATGTTTCAATAAGATTTTCCACTCGTGAAAGACAGAGGAAATTATATAACGATATCTTCTTATCCAATCTATAAATAGAAAGAATAAAAAGAATATACGATCGATCATTTTGCTTTAAGACATGGATTTTAAATTAGAAATGCCATACAGTAATTTAAATTTAATCGTTACCTGTTTAAATATTAAGTAAAGCTGTCAAGAATTGTAAGGTTAGAAAACAAAACAATCGATTCGTATTGTATCGAATTTAAATTTGAGAATGTTTTCATTTTTATTGTATTGTTTGAGATAAAAAATTAATTACTATATAGTCAATCAAAAAATAAATTATTCGTGATTGAAAAGAATACTTATTACTATATTTTTGTTATTTCGATCGTTAATACTTAACTAGAATTATTCTAGTTAATGATAAAAAGCTGGCAAGTGCACTTTTGTTCGACTTTCCTGGCACTCGAACGGGGAGGTTAAGAGGACTATTAGGAAGTCCGATAATTTTCTAGGATATAAAATTTAAGTAAGAATAAAAGCTTAAAAGGAGCAATTTCGTCGAATTATGATAAAAATCTTCATTTAAAAGAATAGTTTACAAAGGTTAGAAAAAATAACTTTTATATTATTAATTATTATAAAAAGGCTCATTTTGAGGGTAAAGATGAATTCTTTAAAATATTGTAAATGCCAATAGCAAGTGGAATCCCTGGAGATAAGATTAAGGTTGCTAGATACTTGGGGATTAAATGAGTTCCTCCCGAAAGGTACTGCGATGCTTTAATTCCAGGACACGCAAAAGATATGAATTTTACTCTGCCAGTGACAGAAATACATTTAAAATGTGGAAATAAAAAAAAGATATTTTATTGTAAGTTTTTGCAATATTGATAGTTTCTACAATTTTACACAGAATTTTATAAACAGATTTTACAATAAAGTTCTCCCTTAGGTAGATGGCAGTCAGAAAAATCTGTGATAATCCCGGAAAGCCGGGACATCTTATAACCGTAGATATGACACGATCCCCTCTATTTCTTCACCCTCTTGAGTTCTATACTCCAAAATTTAGTAGCACCAATATCTCTTATGCACAAGTTACCCTGCCAAATTTCGTTTCGTAATCTTTACCCCCAGCCTGAGATATTGAACGAAATAGACACGATATAGCCTATACATACATTTACGGAATTTTTCCCCTTTCACTTTTCCGGCTGTTATATATAACAAGAGCGATAGGTCAAAAAAATGACCTCCAAGATTTTTGCATTTTTGGACTTGGGACACCTTGAAACGCCGAGAAAGGAAAAAAAAATTTCGGGGGTAATTTCTGTATGTATGTATGGATGTTGGTGTGTGTATCGGGGCACGATGTTCACTCTCTTTGAATCTTAATAACTGTCGTGCATTTTGTCGAAAATTTCTGAAATTTGTAGGGAGGTTTATGTATTAGGGAGAATGATAATATTAAATTTTGGTGATTAAAGGTCGCGGGGTGAGAAGATAAAGGGGTCGTGTGTATCTCCAGTATGGTCGGACTTAATGACGATTTTACTTGTTATTAACATTTACAATTTTTTACAAAACTCATCCCTATCCTCAAAATTAGGCTTTTTGCAGTTTTATAATAGTTAAATATATAAAAAGATTTAAAATAAAATATCATAACAGATGGCGCTACCAAAATTTTAAATGCTGCCAGGAAAGTTGAGCAACTCGTTGCTGGTTTATTTTTACTTTTTTATGAATAAGTTTATTTTATAATTAATTTTTGATAAAAAAAATATGCTTTTAATGTCTTGCAAACTCGAGAGGTTTGAATCTAAATTGGGAGCGGATAATTATTTTGGATGAAATATTACATCGCCATTTTAAGACTATATACTGTATACCTACATGATTTAACTAATTACAAAGTTATAAATGTTTAATTATATATATAATTTATATATTTATCAAATAAATCATA